GCAGGCCGTACAGACCCCAGCATCTTTGGCTAAACCAGACTCCCCACTCGACCCGGGGGAGTGAGGCCACACGTGGGGCCAGTCCCAGTTCCCACCTGTTGCTGGGGGCCAGGACGGTTGCTATCCCACCCCCCCTCCTACAGCGCATCAGCGGGTATGAACCAGCACATGGAGAAAAAACCAGCCCGAGAGCTGAAAGAGGCAGGTCTGACCGCTTCCCTACCCCATCGCACAACCTCGGCTGCCGAGGAAGGCCGCAGGGTGTGCACCAGCATCCTGGTAGTGAGGCGATGGCACTCGTGGGCACCACAACAGCGCAGGAGACGACCAAACCGGAGCTGGCACAACGCGGCCAACACCTCGCTGGGAGCCAGAGCGGCTGGTCCCACCCCGGGAGCACCCCTGCTCACAGGCAGCAGCTACAGCGGAACCCCAAGGTGGGGATGGAGATGGCTTTGAAGGCACTCACAAAGGATCAGTCGCTAAAGCCTGGCTTAGTTAGGCCTGTTCTTCCCCACAGCAAAACAGACTCTTCCTAAGACACAAAGTTCACTGTAAGAAACTGCCATCCTTGCTCCAAAACTGGTACGAGGTCTGCGGGGGTACCTGCTGATAGATGGAGTGCCGTGCCACCAGCCCCTGCTTCCAACCACTCAGCTAAGAGCCTGGGCCCCGCCGGTGTCCTGGAGGCCACTCAGCCCAGCCCCACGCCAGCGCCCTGCTCAGCTCATCACCGGGCAGGCGGCTGTTTGGGGGAAGATGGTTCTTGGGTGGCTTCGCTTACCTTTGTGTCTCCCGCTGGAGCCAAGAAGCGCCGCTCCGGCTGGAACGGTCTGCAGCAGTGGACTGCAGTCCAGCAGGGAAACCTGTTCTGCTCCTCCTGACCCAACCACAGACCAGCGTTTAGCCAGGGCTGCTCCGTAAAACTCAGCCTGTCATTCAGCTACCCACCACCTCGCCGTCGGGGTCTCGCCAGCGACGCGTCACTGCCGCCGGCTCCTGCAGACTCGACCCAGGTGCTTGCCAAAGCCGTCAGCAAGCACCACACTGTCTGGGAGTCAGCACCTCTGCTGGATTCGGAAAATGCTTCTGTGGGAGCCCTCCCAGAGCAAAAGGCATGAGATCTGTTCCAGCACTTAATCAGCATGTTTAAGGACTTGTAAGCAGTTCTGAGAGTTGACTCAGCTGTGATGGCTCTGGCACCCCAACCTCTCTGTAATGGGGTGTGGGGTGCGTGAATGATGTCTAAGCTTTTCTCTCCCACATCACCCCTGAGCCATCTGGCCCTGACCAGACCTCCTTGGCTGTTCCATCATTTAAGTACAGGTTCAAAGGAGACACTCCTCCGTCACAGGGGATACAGCCTCAGCAGATGATCGGTGCGATGCTGCCTGAAGCCTTCGCAGAGACGGTGTTCACACTTGCCCAAGGTCCGTGGCACAGCACAAAGTTTAGTCCAGCCCTGCCGTGACCAGCTGAAGAGATCACAGCAGCCAAACATGAGCTGGTGTGCACAAGTATAGCAAAAAGCTTCGCTCTGTGGGCTTCTGCAGCTTCCAGCTATGCAACTGGAGCAGTTCAGAATAACTGCGTGTTCTGCTCACCTAAGAAGCAGAACTGAGGTGGGCAACAAACTCCTCGTCATAAGGGAAACGACTGCAATACCCAAAAACCACATCTTCCAGTCCAGGTGCCTCTAGAACAGATGTGCCTTAAATAACCATGGGGAAAATCAGCTAAATCAAACTCAGCAATTCCTTCTCCAGACCTACATTCACTCTAAAGAAACTAACCCTGGTATTACTCTCGGGCTCGGGAATTTCAGCAGAGAACACGTTGTGAACTCGTATACCAGCATCGTGCCCGTCATCACCAGCAGGTTGCTGTCCTGTACCCAAATCACCAGCCCCAAGGCAGCAAGTGAAAACACCAACTCCAAAGGAACAGCAAAGTGATACAATCTGGTTTTTGCCTACTCCCAAAGATCAGACCAGAATGGATGTATCTTCCTGGGCACTGAAGGTCTGTTGTGATCTCCTGAAGCCAACCTCCTGGAACAAAGACGCCGTCCTACACGATCATGATTTCAGGGGAAGAGCTGTGTTATCAAGCTTTTAGCATCTCCTTTTGCTCCCAACCCATCTCTAACTTTCAGCATGGACTTGAACACTGACCTGAATAAGGGCATCAAAAAGGTGCTTCCAGCTCCTAGATGGCCATGTATACTGACCAGCACTGACAGAGCACCCCACTGCCTTGCTGCTGCTGGGTGCCATCCACAGCAGGAGTAAGATCGGTCTGCAACCTCCCAGACCCGTCCACCACCCATCAGCCAGGCCCCCTAAGGTGCTTGCTGTCTCTAGTTCCAGCTCCTACCTGCCTACTGCATTCCTGAAGTGCCGTCCTGACAGAGCACACGAAGATGTACTCTGACTCCTGAAGAACGTTTTGGTCCATTTGCAGAACGCTGTTGACTCCGAGCACATTTATGTCTGCTTTAGCCATACATAAAACAGGACGATAACCAGCCTGCCCAGGAAAGACCGTCAGTATCTGGAACCACTGGAAGTGTACAAAAGATCAAAGGCGTCAAGTTTCAATTAGACTATTCCACCAGGAAGAAAAGCCTGTCTGGTGCCTGATGTTGTGCTGTTAAACACAGACACCAACTACTGACCTGCTGATGAAACGGCTCATCTTCAGCACCTCTTGGTGCAACAGCCATCAGGGGCGGCCCAAGGAAGCAACACTTTCTGCAACCGGAAGACACTTAACAAGCTACAATAACACACGTGACTTGACCAGACCCTGAGCCTTCCTGAGCCTTCAAGCTGGAAAACCTCACCCTGAGGGGTGCAGAAGCCTCTCTGAAAGGGAGGTGCTCGTACTCTGGCTTCCTGCTCCTGACCAAACTACTGAAGGACTTTGTATTCTGGCCACTGCTGCTCTAGCACAGCCTTCGCAAGACTTGCCAGCCTCCTCCAGCCACAGCTGGTGCCTCCCCTGTGACGACACCTCGTGCCTCTCGTGCCCCCCCCAGAGCTCCTCACCTTGTTTGCCCACGGCTCCCCGTCCTTGCCTGTGGCTTCTGGCTCCCCACCAGAAATGAGAGGATGCTCCCAGTAGTTAGAGCCATCCAGAGTCCATCCTTCAGAGAGCCCCAAACGCAGCATTACTTCTCACCTGAAGGTCTCCGGATAGTGCTGTCCCATCCCTCACCGAGGCCCAGGTGAAGGATGGGATAAGCTCTATTGCAGAAAAACAGCACGAGGTTCCTAGTGCAGGAATACCCCCAAGCAAGGGCCCCCACCTCAACCCACCCACTGACTCTTATGGCTTTTAGTCATCTTCCAGAAGGACAAAGTAGCCCTGCCCTGTGCCCCACTTCAGCTGCACACCAGCTACGGAATTCGGAACACAACCCATGCTTCCAAGCATCACACTTGTAACAGCTTAGCTCAGGAAGTTTGCTGGGAGCCTCTGGACCATCCCCACAAGGTAACACCAGACTCAGCACCTTTCCTCCGGCACAGGGACGGGCGCTGCTGCTGCCAGCACCCGGCTAAGGGCAGGGCAGCTCCTCTCTTGGGTAACTTCTCCCACTCGAGCTGGGATCAGCCCTTCTGCAGGGACTGGGTGCCAGGCAGCTGCAGCCAGGGTGGGAGCTGTGCCCCACGGCAGTTCGGAGCGGGCACGTACAAAGAGCAAGCGTTCAGCACGAGTCCGCTCTTGCGCAAAGGCAGCACTGGAGTTTAATTCTGCTGCTGCCTGGCATGACAGAGGATGAGGAGAGGGACAGGAGGCCGCCCGCACCAATGGTGGGAAGCCCTGGGTGGGCTGTGGCTTTGTGCCAGGGCTGACCAGGGTTTCTGTACCGGTTTTGCCGTGTGAGGCTGATTCACGCGTCGTCCTCGCCGCTCCCAACCGCTGCCGGCCTCGGCTGCCAAACCCGGCGCCTCTTCAGGCCCGGGCTAGCCCCTGCGGAACGGCTCCCCGCCACGCTTGGCTGGATCGCCTTCCTTCCCCCTTTGATGCTCTTCGTTCTGGATGCCAGCTAAATCAGCCCGTGCAATAGCTTGGGAGAGGGAAAGGCAGCGAGCACCGAGTCACCCGCTGCGCTGAGTGCAATGCCTCTGCTTGGCTCTGCTTGGGAGAAGCTGGTCAGACCCCGGGCAAAAATCCCAAAGGAGCAGGGCAGAGCAAAGAGGGGCTTCCCAACAGATAAGCTCTTATCCAAAACACTCTTACCCACTCTAAACCCAAGGACTGGAAGTCTGAATCCTTTAGTCTTAGTTGTCAAGCAGCCAGACAGCTGTCTGCAGCACAGGAGAGCACTTTTGCTACATGCTCACCAGTAATTAAGTCGTGCACAGGGCAGATGAGGATTTGCATATCATTACACACTGCTGACAGACTGGAGCAGCCTCAGGCATATGTGCTATGCAGGTGTTAGCATCAGCTAGGTGCTGGGGGGGAGCAGAAAGGCCTAATTCTACCTCTGGAGCACATAAACATTTTTTCTGCCAGAAAGAGCTGCCTGGAAAAAAAACCCACTAAAAGAATCAAGGAAGCAACAAACTGGCACTAGCTGAGGTGAACACAGCTCTCACATCTCCTCCCCAGTGCTTCTTCACTTCCAGGCATCACATCGGAGGCCATAAAAACATCCCACAAGGACTGGGTGGTGGAAGGCAAAGCACCCAGAGGAGCGCCGAGGACAGGCCTGGACTGGCTGTGCTCTTCCACCCCACCAAAACCTGGGGCCAGCAAAGGGTTTCAGGCGGGCTGGGGAGGACAGGGCACGATGACGACTTGCTGGAGACACAGACCGCTCTCTCCCCGAAGGATACCCCACGCCGCTCGCCTTCACACAACAGCACGACCTTGGTCTGTGGAGAGCAGGTCCCGGTGCCCCTTCCCTCCCCGCCGTCCCACCAGCACCACTCCCAGAGCACCAGCGGGAGCACCCTCTGGAAGGAGGACACAGCCATCGAGACGGTTTGTCGAGACCATCAAATAATAATTTACTGTGATTCAATCTGTGGCTTTGTACAGTTGCCAGGGTGGGAAGAGGCCAAAGGAGGAGGGGATGGGGAAAGAAGACAACGAAAAAAAAAGAAGTCGTTTGCCGCAGGCTTGCGTGAAGTGCGAGATAGTCCTTGGAGGGGCTCATGCTCCCCCCGTCCTCTTCCACCTCCTCCTCTACCCCTACCACCATACTCCTCCCCTGAACCCGTTCGCTTCTTCCTTCACTTCACCTCTTTCCTTGCGCTCTGCACAGCGGGAACCTCTCCGAGACACACACGGTCCGGTCAGCTGAAACCAGAAGAGGACACTCGTCAGCACCCGTTGGCGGTCAGGGTGTTTCCGTTACCCACCTCACGTTTCAGGATGACCCTGCTTGGTGCCCACTGAGGGGAAGCAAAGGGCTACACAGGTTTTGGGAGGCCTGGACGTGGCTCTGCAAAGCACCTGCATGCGTGCTGAAGGGAACAGCAAACGGCCTGCGGGATGACGGGTGAGCCTCGGGCATCTCGCCAGACCTTCTCCCTCTGCCCAAACCTTGTGGGAAGGGGCACTGTTTGGTGAGGTCTTTCTCCCTCCTCCTGGGATGATGGAACCCCACAGTGAGACCAGGGCAAATGCAGCCGAATCTCCCTGTCTCCCTCGCCACACGCACCCCCTTCTCCTCCCCAAAACCCAGCAAGTCCTTGCCTTGTCTTCTCCTTTTGTGCCCTGATGTCCCTCCCTCTCTGCTCTCGGCCACTGCAGCTATAAGAAGGTGGAATGTCTGGTTTCCAGTTCCTGCTTGAGCAGAAAAAGATGTGGGCAACTCACAGGGCACGCTTTCTATCAGAGGAGAGTGTTTCCAAGAGACTCTTGCCCACCCATTCTTGCCCCTCTTTGGGGGCACTGCCCACGCTGGTGCTGGCCAGCGGGCTGGGACGGGGGCTGGGCTCCTGGCCCTTGGTGCAGGGGAGCCGCAGCATCTGCCGAGCCCAGTGCCGTCAGCTGCGAGCCAGAGCAGGAAACGAGCTCTGAGCTCACATCCCCATCCGGAGGAAACACTCCTGAACATCTGGAGGACCTGAACATCTGGAAAACCTCCCTCAGCAGGGATAAGCGTGCTGGGCACAGCATTCGGCTCGACCCCCCAGGCGACCTCGTGTGCCTTGGCTGGGAGCAGAGGGGTGGGGTGCTCGGGCGGTTTTTCGTTCACAGGAAGCAAGTGCTGCCAGTATTTTTTTGTTTGTTTGTTTTGGGTTTTTGGGGGGTTTGGTCTTTTTGAGGAAGAGCTCTGCTGTGCTCACGGCTTTTGGCTCAAAAAGCGACGGAGGAAAACCAGCTGCCCACCTCCACCTTCCGCAAGACCCTCTTAACACCACCTCTGGACACAATGTCCTTCCCTCTAGGAATCCAGGGGTTGTGTAAAAGGGGTGAAGGGCCAGTCCAGGTGCTCAGGAGACTCCCCAAAAGACATGAAGGGCAACGTTCATACAGGTTTTTCTCCCACACCCCAGTCCCAGATGTCCTTAGACGTACATCTCCCCGGTGCACTCATCCCAACTGCCCCTCTCCCCACTTGTGCCACGGAAGGAGCTGGTTACGCAGCCAAACGTTCCCAGGCGTTTGGCTTAAGGCCACCCAGCTCACGCAGGGACACCAAGAGCAGCTCTCCCTCACTGCTAACCAGCAGGACTGCCACGATTCAGATAACTCATCATTAAAAACAGAAACGAGGAAAGAAAAAGAAGAAAAACAGGCAAGTGAACACAAACAATCTGAAAAAGACTGTTTCTGGCTTCAGCACGCGCAGTTTATAAACGGAAAACAGCCCCCTTACGGCTAATTCTCAACATTGCATCAGTGCCAAATATCCCAAGGGATATCTCTAATGGGGAAAACTCTTCTGAGGAACACAGGCCTTTCCCAGCGAGACCGGTCTGCTCGGAAGCTGTGGAAGGGGGCAGCCGGCGCGTGAGGCAACGCGCTCACCCCGCTCTTCACCTGAGCTCTTCTAGGGCCGGTCTAGCGCACTCGCAGCAACCTGCCACCTCCAGCACCACCTCAGCTCCTCGCCCAGAGCGGCAGCGCGGGAAGCTTCCCCGGACAAAGCACGACAAAACACGTCTGGTTTGGTTTTGATTCAGCGCTGTACAATTTTGTTCCACAAAACGGGTGGGAAAATTAACCAACTCTTTCCTCCTGCACATTTCCTCAGCAAAGTGGGAATTTTAACTTACCTATGTTCGACAGAAAAATGCTATTTCAGTCCAAAAAAAGTGTTTCATTAAAAAATACCTGTTGCTGAGATAGTTTCTGCTGCATTTGTTTGCAGACGAGTGCCTCTGCAGTCACCTCCTGCCCTGCTTCCAAGACACACCCCATCTTCTGCTTCCAAAACTCACCGTAGTCACGATATCACACATTTACAGTTCATGCAGCCGGGGCCGCTCTCATCCGGGGGATTCAGCTTGCGCAGCTTGTGCTGACGGATCTCCCGCACCAAGGTGTAGAAGGCATCTTCCACGCCCTGGAAGAAAAGCATTGCTGGAAGCAGCTGCCCGCTTCAAGAGGGGACAGTGGAGAGAAGAGAGGGCTCTGCTCCCCAGCTCGGGCAGTCTTCCAGCAGAGTTAAAGGCATGGATCCAAGCTGGGAAGACTAACGGGGATCTCAGTGCGGACCCCGAACAGAAAGCGAGACTGGATGAGCAACCATGAGGCCAAGGAGATCTTAAGTCATAGAATCATAGAATCACTGGGTTGGAAAAGACCTTAGAGATCATCCAGTCCAACCGTATCTGTCCACCACTAAACCCTATCTCTCAGCACCTCATCCACCCGTCTCTCAAACACATCCAGGGATGGTGACTCCACCACCTCCCTGGGCAGCCTGTTCCAGTGCGTGATAACCCTTTCGGTGAAGAACTTCTTCCTTACATCCAATCTAAACCTCCCCTGGCGCAGCTTGAGTCCATTCCCCCTCGTCCGATCATCTGTCATTAGGGAGGAGAGACCAACACCCACTTCTCCACAACCTCCTTTCAGGGAGTTGTAGGCAGTGATCAGGTCTCCTCTCAGCCTCCTCTTCTCCAGGCTAAACAAGCCCAGTTCCCTCAGTCGCTCCTCATAAGACACATTCTCCAGACCCTTCACCAGTTTTGTGGCCCTTCTCTGGACACGCTCCAGGACCTCAATGTCTTTCTTGTAGTGAGGGGCCCAAAACTGACCACAGTACTCGAGGTGCGGCCTCACCAGTGCCGCGTACAGGGGGAGAATCACATCCCTGGACCTGCTGGCCACGCTGGTTTTGATACAAGCCAAGATGCCATCTCAAGTCCTTGAGATCCATCAGCTTTCAGCAGCCTGAATGAGGTCTACCGCCCAAAGTAAAAGCCACTAGACCACTGAAGGTATCAGCTGCTACGTGCTTTGTCCTCTGAGCCCCACACAGTCCTCCCAGCACGTGTATATTCTGCCTGCAGGTCTGCCAAAACAGGCCATGGATGAGGTTAGCCACGTCCCCTGAGCTTAGCTGACCTGCTGGGACTATGGGGGTTATTCCAGAGCCTTGGAGAAAGCCCCGAGAAGGCAACTTCCCTCCACTGCTGCCAGAGCACGCGTTATGCACTTCTCCGGACTGGAGGCGCGAGCCTGGACAGGGGAGGGAACATCCTGATGGAGCATTTAGCCTTGAGGAAGCAACTAACCCCAGCCCTTGCACCCATCTGTCTGCCGGGTGGCATCTGCCCTTGCTGCCTCTCCAGGACAGCACTGGGAAGAAGAGAAGGAAAGGACTGTGTTTAAACCCCTTCTCCTACCTGTCTGGTTTTGGCAGACGTTTCTATGTAGGGAATCCCGTAACTCCGGGCCAGGTCCTGCGCTTGCCGGGTCTCCACTGTCCGGGCTGGTAGGTCACATTTATTTCCCACCAGCACCATGGGAACATCATCGGAGTCTTTCACCCTCTTGATCTGCTCCCTGCAAGAGTAAGAGGTGCCAAAGTGAAGGAAGAAAAGGCATGAGGAAGCAGCTCCAACAGCTTCTCTGTCAGGAATTAACAGCTGCGCTTCGGTCCTGCCAAGTGCCCTGCGTTGGGCTTTCCGGTGACCGCGGCATGTGAGGGAGTAAAACAGCTAGGGCATTTCTGGAAATGAAAATGAAACATACTCTGCTCTTTAAATGTTTACAAAACAACTTGAAATTATCACAATCTATATTAAGACACGATCTTAAGATAGTTTAAGCTAAATAAAAACGAAGACTCAAGCCGTTACCTGTGTTTGTTTCCAACATTTTTGATCAAGTAATCCCCCTGAATGGGGATTAAAAAAATCACCTGCAACCAGAATTTGCTGAGCTGCTAAACCAGCTTCTGGCAGCTGTAACCTTTCCCGCAGATGCGGTGTTTGCTTCCTTTCAGTTCAGTTCAGGTCACTCAGAGTTGAGGAACCAACTGGGAAGCTGCAAGGCTTGCTTCTTCGTTCCAACCTCGAATTTAAAACTAGGTGGGCGAGGATGAGATCTACCACGTCTAAAAAAAATAAATCTTAAAGGCCATTATGACCACAAATAATCCACTCAATTCCCTCCTGACTGATAAGAACTTCCTTTGCTTGATAAATCATTTAACTTCAGATGCAAAACAATTTTTTTTTCTCTCATGCATCCAGAACATTTAACATGGTTTTATTTAACTAATAAAAGCATTCTTTAAAATGCTGATTTCTGCATTTTAATTGAATTCAAATTTCCATCCAAAAGCAGCTGGGCATGTATCACACACACAAAAAAAGAATCATCTTTTTTTAATACAGTAGAACATAGAAGTGAAGCCTTACTATACGTACGATATGCCATAAAGCCACTTAAATGTTCCATCCCGATCAGCAAATGCAAGTACTAAATTTAGTGCACGGGCTACACTTAGCTGGAAAGAGATACCTCCCAAAGATTACTAACCAGGGAGAGCCAGCATTTCTCTGGGGAATATTCCTTTAAAAGTGCAAACACAAAGAGCACAGGCGAAATGAGATGAAAGCCAGTGATTTACATCATGATTTAAACCGGGGCTTGAAATCGAGCCACCCTGTGAGTGATTCGCAGGCACCAGCCCCAGCGCAAGGAGGAATGCTGCTGAATCCCTCAGGTGCTTTAGGAAAATCCCATCCTTTGTCCTCTGGTTCGGCTAAAACAAGCCAAATTACTCCAACCATACAGTTATGACGTTGAACATGCCTGCTAGCCAAAGACGGAGATGTCTCAACACTAAGAGCAGCACCTCTGATGACGGAGCCGGGAAGCGCTGTGCCTGTGCTCAGAGCTACAGGATTATCTGGACCCCAAGTTTAGGATGAGGAACTGGGGTACACGGTCCCTTGGTGGGCAGCAGACAGAGTGGGGACAGGCAGAGGTCTCCTGCACCCTCTGCAAGTGCCTCCCATCACAGCCAAGCTTAAAAAATAGGCATAAAGCCGAGATCCCTCCCTAAGCCAGCATCAGGGTAACCAGGGAAGACTCCGCCTGCATTCGTATCATCCCCCTGGCTCTCTGGTTCTGCAGCGCTGATGGAGCAGGAGGGAGAAGCGGGATGGGTAACCTGGGTGCAGCCAAAGCAGGACCATGTCAGGATGGGGTCCCTGCTCTGCCACCGCCCCCCCCCCCGTACCTCCTCTCAGGCAAGTGACCTCCTGCTCTGTCTCTGCCCTGGTTGGAACCGAGCTCCAACAGGCCAGGACCATCTCCCCCCGCCGTGCGTGCAGACGGCAGCCTCGCTGCCACGGCTGCCAGTGGGGGAAGAAGCCCTCCCTGCCCTTCCCAGCCTCCTCTCCCAGCTCCCAGGCCCAGCAGAAGTTGCTGGGATCGATTACACTAACAACGCAATTCCATTAATTAGGGAGGGAAAGGATGGGGTCAGAGAGGATCAGCTCTCTCTTTAGTCACCATAAACACTTAAACATTACATTACCAAGTCCCCAAAGGCCACAAGCAATCCCTTCAGATGGGTTTTATTGGAGTCACTGACATTAGCCGTCTGCTCCGTCTCTTCCCTGGGGAATGGCCACTTCAGCTAATTGTCTTTGCTGGCAGCCAGTGCTTCCACCGCAGGGCCTGATCTAAAAGGAGGGCAGGAGGGTGCAGCAGCAAGGCCTCCCCTTCGCACGGGGCAAGAGGGAAGGGACCCTTCCCAGGATACCCACCTGTACTGGTGAATATCTTCAAAGGACTTGGTGTTGTTGATAGCAAAGACGCAGAGGAATCCTTCCCCCGTCCTCATGTACTGGTCTCTCATGGCACTGTACTCCTCTTGCCCCGCGGTATCCAAGATGTCTAACAAGCAGGTCTCTCCGTCGATGACGACTTGCTTTCTGTAGGAATCCTGCAGACCAGGAGAGGGAGAGAAAGGGAGGAGGATGCGTTAAGGGAGGGCTCGGGTCTGGCCAAGCAAAGGGGTGCAGCAAGTGCATCCTTGGGAAGATGCCAGGTCATGTTCTGCTTGGGTTAACTCCCAGTCAATAGCTGACTGTTTCAAAAATGGGAGGGAAAGGAAAAAGAAGAAATGAAAAAAAAAAGGAAAAAGGAGCAGCTGAGGAGGGTTCCCCTCCTCAGAGCCACAGAGAAGACAGCCCCTTGATTGCTCTCCCCATTCCCAACACGGCCTCTGGCAGACCAGGGGCAGCTCTGTCTTTACCACACTACACTGCCCTCCACAACCATCTCCCCACGCTTCCCTTTTCCAGCTAATCCCTTCTGCTGGAAGGGGACACACGAGAAAGTCAGGTCCGGCTGACCTGGGCTTCCAGCCACCATCTGCGGGGCTGGAAAGTGTTGAAGATCACCTGGAAATCCCGCACCTCCAAGGCATCTCAGACTAGTTAGCAGAGGCGATATGCCAGCAGTAGCGCTGCAAACGGGGCTTGATGGTAAACCTCTCCTTCAAACAGGAGAAGACCAAAACCCATGCTGTGAGGAGGGTGTTTCCCACAACCAGCCTGTGCCCAGAGGGATCCAGGAGAGGTAAGGACTATCCAGGCAGGTCCTTTGAAGTCAGGGGTTTTCCCTGCAGCAGAAGCAATCGTCATTTATCAAAGATGTGAGAAGGCCTGGAAATCACCCAGGGCATCCCTCAAAAAGTTTCATTTCCATGGCAGGCTCCTCAAAGTACCGCTCCTCCCCAACATGCCTCTCCCCCGTGCCCTGTCTCACCAGCAGGGATGCTGCTGGGGCAGCCTCTGCCTGAAGGAACAGCCTCATCCCTTTCCAATAGCTGCCCTCCCGGTACAGCGCAGCATCCTGAACGCTCGGCAAGAGAAGTAAGGCGAAACGAAAGGTATGGAAAAGGTGTGTCGGCAACGTGACCGTGACAGTGCTTGGCAGCCACTCACAGAGGCTACGGCTGCAGTTTAATTTAAGCATCTGCTGCTCTTCCAATGACCACGACAGTGCTATCAGATGCAGGTCTGCAAACAGCCGATGCAGCAAAGGTCACCAACAGGACCGGCAGCAACACGGAAAGGGAATGGGGCCAATGTGGCCTCCACCCTTTGGTTCATTACTACAACGTCATCTACTGGGGCTAATTAAAGTCTTTCCTCACCTTCCAGAGAGGGCAGCAAAATGAGGAGCTGAGATCTGCTCTGCCACAACCTTCTCAGCTGTCTTTTCCCAAAAAGGGGAATAAGCATGGAGTGGTGGGCTGGTTTCCAATCAACTGCTCTGAAGACAACTGGCAGGCTGCCCTGCAGGGATGCAATCCCATTTCTAATCAATAATGTTACCTGGACACTTCTTGGTGTAAGGTGGAAGAGCACTGGTTCCACTATCGGGGTCCCAGTGCCTGGCAGGGCCCAGCAAAGGGGACCCCAGTGCCTGCTCTGCCCAGCAGAGCATCCTCCCACCCTTGCGACCTGGCTTATGCCCGGAGGGCCTGGCCCTTGGCAAACATGTCCACAATTATTGCTGAGTGCCCAGTTACAGGAGGTCTCACCAGCAGACAGCACACTTACGGAAAAGCAATCCCATGCTTCGGCTCAGCCGTCAACAGGCTGCCCATAAGGCCAGCCAGCTCACTCACAAAGCACAGGCACTTGGTCTTGCAGAGGCTGCTTTGCACCCCACTCCCCAAAGGAAGGGACAAGCTCTCCCCACCCTTGCTTTGTGTCCAGCTTCATCTGAACCCCCGTGAGATGCTCAGGATGGCAGCTCAGCCATCCCTGCCACGCTTCCGGGTGACCTGGCTGCTGCTGCAGGGGTAGTTGTCACCAGCCTACCCCGCAGCCTCAATGCTCCTCTGCAGCCCAGCACGTCACAGCCCACCTTCCTGCACGAGGGAAAGTGGCTGAGGCCAGCTGTGACGTGGCAGAAACAACGTCTCCTTGGGGTTCAGACTCAGGATCCCAGGCGGATGCTGAGAGCATCCCAGGTATGCTCGGGGACCAGGCCAAGAGGGCTGTTAGTTAAATGCTACGGTCAGGATACGACTAGAAGCTTGGGAAGCCCGATACTAGCTGGCTGCTAAAAGCAGGAGGACAAACCAAAGAATTTCCCAACACGGTCCAACTCTTCCCTCCATCCCGGCTCATTCGCCACAGGACACTGCCAGCAGCAGTTCCCAAGGGTCTCAAGGCTCCTCAGCAGCCCAAGAGCAGGCAGGCGAGTGCATGCTGCAGTAGCTTGGCCAGTACTGAGTTACAGAGCCAGGCGTTTGCACAAGTGAATCAGAGGGGGAGCAGGCACTCAGCCAGGGTCCCTGCCCCAGACAGGGGATAAAGTCACTTCTCCACTCCTCTTGCCCTGGGAAGCATCTTCCCAGCCCACCCTGACCCACCTACACTCCCCTCTGCAGCATGGTCTGTGCTCCATTCATTTAAGTGATGGGTAAAGCCTTTGCTCCATGCACGTATTCTCCCTTTTTTTTCCTTCCCCCTCCCCTTTTATCCTGCTCATTTCAGCATTGCTGTGCTCTTTGTTAGCTGGCAGAACAGTGAGAGTCAGCTCCTGGGCATGATCCAAAGCAGCTTAGTCACAGGAGGGTGGTTTGTTGGTCACATTCAGAAGGCTGGCAGGTAACTCTCCGTGCATCCTAAATCCCCATAAAATGAAGTATAATTAAAAGGAGTCACCCTGGAATGAGTGAGAAGATGGCTGGGGTGGGGGGAACGCAGGGCATGACCAAGGAAGCAGCAAAGGCTCCAGGTCTGGTGGGACCTGCAGGTGGAAAAGCACTGGGGTGAGAAGGGTGAGGAGCAGCTCGTGGCTGCTTTAGGAAGAGAAGAGCAGAGTGGGGCTGGGGGAAAGGAGAGCGGGTGTCTCCCAGGGCACAGCAGGAGTGGGCAGGGTGAGAGGGTATGCTGGGAAATGCCATGCAAGGTTTACATTCCCCGCTGCCTGTTTACATGGAGAAAATTCCCTGCAGGGTACGTACAGGGGGCAGGCGGCTGGAGGTGAAGAGACAGGATGCCAAAATCCAACACATCACAGGGTCAGAGCTGCCCTCTGCCCACGCTACGGTCCAAGAGAAGACCCACCCATGCAGATGTCTCCCCAGGAAGGTTGCTCTCCATCATCTCTTTTGCCAAAAACCACCTGGAATGGGTTTCGAAGAAAAGCATACAATGCTCCCGGTGACGAGCGTGTGAGAGAGGAGCTGGGGAAGGAGCCAACAGCACCCATCCGCAAGTGCAGCACCGAGACTCGGGAGCCCTCACATTAAATTCTAGTCTCTGCCACGGACTTTCTAGGTGACCTTGGCCAAATGACGTAATAGCACATGCTTTTAAGTGCTTTCTCTCCTTCCCATCTGTAGGATTGTAAGACTATTTCTGCCTTTCTACCGAGCCGTGTCTCGCTTGTTTATTTTAGTTGTAAGCTCTTCAGGGTGGGGACTACACATACAACACCTACCAGAATAGATTTCTGATCCCAGCTGGGTCCTTTTAGCCATTCTGATAATAGTAGTAACTGCAGCAACTGCAGCTGCATTCATACACATCTGGTAGAGAATCCTTTAGGACTGCAGACAGGGAGGTTATTGTCCCAGAGGCATGACAGAGCTGTAATTTGCCTTCCCAGGGTGGACTTACTCCTTGTGCAGAGCAGCGACCGCTGCCCACACCTTCCCCACACGAAGGTGTAAGTCATGCAGGGGGTAATTAGCAACGTGCTAGCAACAGCGAAAGCAGTCAGGGAATGAAATTTTTTTTTTCCACTTTTAAAAAACGTAATAGTGTAATGGATATTGAAGACCGCCCCCCTTGCTGCGAAGCCTGGAGGAGCACAGGTTCCCTGCCTGGAGAAGCAGGCAGGGTGCTGAGTGAAACAGGCCATTGCTACCATCCACGCTGACTATGAGACCCGTACATCCGTGAACTCCTGGCGATGGAGCGCTCTGGGAACCACACGGTTCAGATGCTTGGTACGTCTCGCTCAAACTGCAGGACACACATAGTATGACCAAGCTCTGAAAAAACCCATTTCATCAGTAAACCTCAAAACATCCTGCACAAGAAGTCAATATATTTACTCTGATTTCACAGGAGAAGAAATGGAAGCAGAAGCACAATATGGCTCTTCAGTCTCAACCCTTTAACCGCTCCCTACGCTGTCATCTCATCAGAAAGGAGGATGTTTGTGCTGCCTGTCAGACCCTGCCTGGCTCTGCTCATTTCTGCTGCCTCCCTCGCCGTGCCTCTTCAGCAGACACCGCTGTCCTTCGCAGGAGGCACGGGTCGGTCACTGTAACCTCTGAACACGCACGTAGCGACTCGGAATAGGAACATCCCTGCTCAAGTTCAGACATGAAGGCGGCGAAGAGCAAGAGAAAAACACGCAGACACAGACCCCATGCCCAGAGCCACTTACCTCTATCGTGGGGTCATACTCATCAACGAAATGGTTCTGAATGAGCTGTATCGTCAAAGCACTCTTCCCGACACCACCAGCTCCCACCACCACCAGCTTATATTCGGTCATCTTCCAACCCGCTCCAGATCAAGACTTCCAGGAGCACCACCACCTGCAAGGAGAAACACGGCCACCGCATTAGGAGAGGGGGTCCCTCCCCGTTCCCACCAGCCCTGCAGCAGGGCTGAGCAGTCAGTACCCCTCTTCTGCCAGGGAAGGCAGAAGGCTGCAAAGCATAGCCTCATTCCTCGGGTATCAAGCATTCCTGATGCTTCCTGCACATCCCAGGAGGACCCAAATGATGCAAGGTAGAGGCCGAGGTCTGGGATCTGGCACGTTGTAACACAGAGACACCTAATTCTGCAAGGCAGACGTGAACGGATGCACCCCTTAAGGTTGGAACGGCCTTTTAAGTTGCTTGACTTCAGTAGGGATTGAGGATGGGACAAGGCAAACCTCCTTCCCTGCTATTCTGGGTGGCAAAGAATCACTCCTCACTCCTTAGGGTGAAAACCAGCAAGCCACCATCAGGGATGCAACATGCTCGTAACGCAGCTTTACGAAACTCTCCATGAGTTTGCCACCGCAGGGTATTCTGCTCCAGGACCACGCTGGTCTCTCACCTCAAGCTCACAGATGTACCACCCCGGCCTGGAAACAGGGAGACGGTGGGATGGCCTGTGTGTCCCCCAGAGGTCAAGGGCTTTACTGCCACCTTCTCACCCAGGACGCTGACTACCACGGGAATCTGGCCAGAGAAAATGACACATGCTTCAGTCTGTCACCCTGTACCATGCCTCCAGGTTCCACTGTCTGTCTTCTGCTTTTATGGTCCGACACTCTGGGGTCTCAAATGTGAGATAGCCTCACCCGAAAACATGAAACTTGGTCTTAAAGTACAGCACGGAACTGCAGCATCCAGAGCTATTTAACCTAATGGTCTCTGCTGGTACTTACTTTAGTTTACTTTAAAGGGGCAAAATAATCCATCAAACTGAAACTAAAACTGTGTTTACCCTGTGACGTGCTGCAATCCTTCAGCCCGACAGTCTGGATGCAAAACACACATTCCCTGAGCAAACCTCAAGAGGTAAGGGAGTGTTACTGATAAGAAAACAGAGGTACAGGCTGTGTAAATCAGGAGTAAACCCTTAAGTAGCCAATTTAAGAGATCAAGTTTTCCAGAAGTGCCCCGCACTGTCTCCAATTTGCCTTATCTCAAGCTGGTGATCCAAAACCATTAGATTTGAAAGCCTTGGCCAACGCGGTTTGTGTGTCAATGCCCAAAGGAGTGGAAAAGAAGTCCCAGCCCCTCCAGATACACTGTTAGCTCCATGTCCTCATCCTCACGGCTGCGTTAAACCTCAAACCACAGGGCGGGTTTGAGATGGTGGCACATCCACACCCTCTGCCCTTCCTCAACGTAATGATGCCGCCCACCGTGCTGGTCATGGCAAGAAGGAGGAAGACTGTGGAAGGGGCACCCCTGCTCCTACAAGATAGAGCTGGCATGCTGCACAGGGGAGCAAGAGATGCTATCCCAAAAGGTGGTGTTGTGGTTTAGGCCCAGCTGGCAACTCAGCACCACACAGCCGCTCGCTCACTCCTCCCTATAGTGGGACGGGGAGGTGAAAATACAAAGAAAGCCTCGTGGGTCGAGACAAGGACAGGGAAGGATCACTCACCAGTTATGGCCATGGGCAAACCAGACTCAACTCAAGGGAAAAAAAAATCAATTTAATTTGTTAAGAATAAAATCAGAGTAGGACAATGAGAGACAAAACAGGTATTAAAAACCTTCCCCCTACCCCTCA